TACTATAAATTATTTCAGCACCCCCTAAATTCACACCCTATGTGCGCCTATGACCGTATAGTTGTTCTGAATTCAGAAACTATGTCATCAATATTTTGTCATCAGTTCTTGAACTTGAACGCGTTTTGGGCTGTATATCTATTATACGAGCAAAGATCGATATTATCATCGGCGTCAGTAAACATATAATTGTTATGCATCTTTTTATCAATATTATGTAACTACGAGGTATGATTTATATTAATATGTTACGGTCTGTTTCATTGGCGCTAATTGGAGCAACTTTGGGGGAGGGGAGCTTGATTCGCACCATTATTAATTCTGTCTCGAACACGGCAAACTCTGAATAAAAATGTTCCAAAGATATTATAATATATTGTATACAAATTTACCAATTGCAAATTTTATTTTATATCCAGTGCAGGTGTGGACTGTAAAGTTCTGCTGCAGTTAAACCTCAGACACGCGAGACACCCAACCACTATTACTTGCCGGTACCTAAATACAAAAAAAAATACTGCCAATTATGAACATATTATAACATTTTGTAATAACGACGAAAATAAATAATAATAATAAAATATTTTTTATATAACAAATTGTTTTAAATGCATATCGATCGTTATCATCATAATACTCAAATTATATGCAACAAATGTTTGTTTCGGTCACGTAATTCTATTCAAATCACGCATTTGAATTTATTGATCCAATAAATTAATRAATTAAATTGTAGCAATTATTAAGTGAACAAGTTTAACTAACTATTAAATTCTAAAATTTGGGATCTAAATCGATGTATAATCGACGTATCACCGATAATATCGTATGCATTGGTCTATATACACGAATTTAAAATAATGGACAACGAATTTTTCACCGTGTTTCAAYATATTATTTGTTCGCAATAAATACTGTGATTATTAAGTTAAAAATAGCGATGCATCGCGGAGCTCRTCGTTATCCTTAATATCAATATTATTACTAATTATTGTTATATAATATAATTATTATGTCAGTTGGTGTAATAATATCATTGTAAAAAAATTAATTCAACAATTATATCTAAACTATTATAATATTTGGTGTAAAAAACAGACGGATGGATTGGGTAAAATTATGTACTAATTATATATATTTTTTTAAATGATATTTTTGCGGTCTGACGGTTACCTACGGTATCCGAATGTTCGGGATCACCCGAGTTGCGTCCCGTAAAAAAGGTATACACGAATTGCGTYCCAAAAAATACAGGACGCAATTCGTATATTTAAATCAGGGGTTCTTAAATAACTAACAAAAATAAATAACAGTTATAAATATAATATAAGTCAATCAAATATAATAAACAAGTAAATAAACGTTAAATCGCTTAAATCCAATACAAATTAATATAGTCCATAATATAGGTAATAAATAAGTTAATTAATAAATAATAATAATAATGTTGTCAATAAAAATGTCAGTCAAAAATTAGGTTTATATTTATTAGATAAGCTTTTTACAAAATCTAACCTTGTTATTTTATTTTCACTTATAATATTTTGCACTTCCATTCTAAATAATATATAAAAACTAAACAGTTATCACAGCTCACGTAGGTATACGAAAAACTAAAAACTGAGTAAGAACGAAGACCGAACTGCAGTAAAAGATATACTAAACACAACAATATTATTAATAGTAGATACTGTACCCACCTAATCAAACATTTTATATCAGCTTGGTAAATCCAAAACATTGCGANACATGAGATAGTCGATCAGACAGACGATCACTGTTTCCGGAAATATTGTAGTACCCGATTTTTATTAACATTTGTGATTTGTGTGTTTTCTGTGGAGCTTACTCGTCATGGGGTCAATTGTATTCGATTCAAACGTATCTACAACATAGGATTTACTTGATGACCATAATAAATKATCATATTAATATAAATTTAATAATTTATACCTTTTGTGATGATCACTATCAACTTGCTCTCAATAAAAGCCTACTAACCTGTGTACGCCTGTGTACTACGCGTCTTCGTCGTTAAGAAACAGAAATGTCCAGTTTGTGCGTTTGGTGCTATAGTTATAATAATATGTACCTACATATAACGTGGGAYACATTTGAAGAAAAATAAAACTCAAACACCCGTCAGGGTCGGCATGTTATTATAATATGAACACAACAACATGTATTTACTATCGTTGTATATGATACATATCACAGCCGATTCATAAGTAATAAAAAAATTAAAAAACCACTGGTGTGTTGTAATTTTAAGGGATGATAACCCCTTTTTTGCTTTCGAAGTTATYATCAATATTTAAGAGTTAGGTACTCAATGTTGAATCAATATTAATTAATTGAACGATAAAGAATCTTAGGCTGTAGTTGCGTTATTTTGGTGTGAAGTTTCGGTGCGTTTCAAAGTACCCAAAATGAAACAAATGTAAACTTTATCATATGATTTTTTTTTAAATCCAAACCCTCCCACCCCCTCTCCTCAACAAATTATTGGAAATACGCCAATGTCCCGACAAAACATGCAATATTTTCAATTTTGTATTTATTTAAATATGACATGATGCGTCATCGTTCGTCGTAATGTGTATGATACATAATATTATAAGCTGAAGCAATGGACTTTACCGTCGTCGCGCGCGGGTCTAGCTGCAGTGGCATAATAGTAATAATTATTATAATAATAATAACAGTAAAAACGATTGCTCATCGTATTGTTGTTATCAATTTACCATTATCTGTCTTATAATACATCTATGAAATACCCCGTATAGGTGCTATACCAATATTATTGTTAACGCATTGTACCACATCCCTGCATATTGTATAAAGCACTATATAATAACTTCACGAGCAAATAGCTTTCTGACCATAAATAAATTGTAGTTATATATATATATAATGTACCGCAATCAGTGGCGTATTTATGGTGGGGAGGGGGGAGATATATCCCCCTCCTTGGCGTCTTATTTGTTATCTATTTATGCAATATTGTGATGTCGATGGTAAGTAAACTACCCCCTCTCCTTAGGAAAAATAAAATGTTTACTAACGCATATTCCCCCCCCCTTGACAAAGCCCTAAACACGCCACTGACCGCAATCTTGCCCGTACACGATAACGGCTATTTTATTATCAAATATTAATAATATTATATTCCTACTCCGCAGCGACCGTAAACTAGTTTATATATATATATATGTGGAGGAAATACGCGGATTAGCGGTATCTATATAAAAGGCGCTCGCCCACTATTATTATCACTGTACCGTTTCGCAAGTGCCAATCGTTATTGAAGACTTATTTGCAACAGTTTAACATTAAAATAATATTGTTATTATTACAATCGATATTATACGCCGCCGTCGCTGATCTACAATAGTGTACTACAATAATATATCATAACAACGCACATTCGWACAACGGCGCTTTTTCTATCGTCCTATTATTATAATAATATTTTATCTACGGAATACGATTTGCCGGACAACAACGTTCTATACGTCGGCTCACTCCGCGACGACTCGACAAAAACGTACGCCAATCATTTAAAATTCATAAAACATAAACACAATATCCAATCAATAACATAATATGTGATGTACCATGAGCACCATGCGAGGCGATCGAAAAGTTCAGAGAAACTGCAGTTTTATACATTTTTATCAAAACRAGTGTCAGTTCTCAGACTTTTCGGACGTATRCGCGCGAGAACAAGTCGGAAATACTTAATGTCAATAATGTGTGGATCGTTATGTGTTTCTGCAGGTGCGATGAACTCAGCTGTGGTATTGGTGATAGTCATGTTGCTGGCCAGCCACGTTAGCAGCTCACCAATCATAAACTTTTCGTGGGACACGCCGAGGCATTTCTGCGGATCCCAACTCGCCAACGTGTTGGCGTTGATCTGCAGCAACGGATACAACTTCCATCCGGCAAGTGATGGTAAGTCCTATAGTCATCACTCTACTAATAATATTATACATTATATAAGTAATATTTTATCATATATCAGCCTGCACAATGCTACACACACGCGCCATTTAATAATTATATTTATATAAAAGTAATTTATTATCCTCTAACTGGATCAGAGATCTAACTTACGCAAAAAACTGTATTTCGAATTTTTTTTTTCTCCCATTTCCAAATCTTATGGTCGAAGATCATTTATAATATTATCAATAGGCCAAGATTCATACGATGCGTTGGTATATTATATAGTTTTTCAGTGCCTTATGAGAAATAGGTATATGAGTGGTTATAAGGAATTGCCTCATATTCATATATACAATAACGATCTATCTTTAGAAAATATACATCATTGATCAGGAATTTAGAAATTGTAAACGCTTGTCAGACAAACTTGTTTGTTTAAAGTATCGACATATTCCATATTCCTATTCGACATTTATTACGAACAATTTTAACGTCGTTCTTGCTTAGCTCTAATATAAAAACACAGCGATACACGCTATACTTCTGTTGTAGTTACACACTTATAGTACACTGCATGAGCCACTAATACATTTCTAGGTTCGAACATTTTTAAAAAAATCGTTAATCGTTAACCGGTATCGCTTCAACTTGTCATTCGATTCATTAACGCCAATAATTATTATTGACGTATATATAGTCGCTAATATTATACTCGTCTCTAGTCTCTACCATACCATCTATGACCTACCGCAGTCATTTTTGATCCGAATATCGAACTTAAAAACATAGAATAGAATATTATACCTGCTATAGGCACAATGCACATAAGTATTTCGGGTTTTGCCACAGAACGCGTGAAAACGATTTCGAACATGATTTACTCACATCAGCACAGTCGCATAAATAATGTCCAAATAGTTTTAATTCCTCGGATGTTATAATAAATATATATATATATATATAATATTATCTAAAATATATGATTGTAAATCTGTAATGATTTCACCAAAATATTATGTAATTTTTTTATGGTAAACCGTATAACTATGTGCAGTGATCAATGTTGTTTATTTCACGTAAATTATTACACCACCTAATTTTGTTGGCTTACAATTATTTTCATCTCTCCGCTTATATTTTTTACATATGAACAATATTCTCCATCTCTGGAAAAAAAGAAATAGTCCCATTTTAAATTGCAACAATATTATATAATAATAATACAATCAAGATTTACCTATCTATTTAGTAGTAATAAACAAATATGATACATGTTTTAAATTAATGACGTTTTAAAATCCTTTTAACGACCTTTACCGAAATTCCCAAAGTATATTTTATTCTTACTAGAAAGCTATATATTATTAAAAAAAAATAAGTAAACCGTATATCGTTTTGTTAATACCTATACCAATTAATCTATAATCGCAAACGGGCGAATGATGGTAAAAATATATTACTAATAAAATAATGATTTATAATCGAATTTGCTTGTCTAGGTGTTAGGTTAGTAGGTTACGTCCTGTTAAAACACCGAACGCTGCAGTTATTTGTTATTTGTATAAAACAATTATTATTGTCATTTTTTATCGCCTGATGAAATCGTTATTACATGTTGTGCGTGTGTGACATTTTCCCGACCTTTGAGCAGCGTCGTGACGTGTACGTTTTCTCGTTTCAGATGTTACCGTCCCAAGTCGCCGTCGAAAAAGAGTGATAGTCGAAGAGTGCTGCGAGAACACTTGCACGCCACATCACCTAAAGTCTTACTGCTGGGAAAATCGAAGGTACTTATACACACCTGACGTATCCATTTGACGCCGCATACTATTTGTTCACCGTCGCGAAATACGAATCAATAAATCGATATTATTTTACATAATATTATACAAGGGCCACGTGGTGCGCGACGATATATCGTTATGAATATCACGCTTGTCGATCGTATTTTTCCGTGTCTCGTTTCCACTCGCTTGCGAATGAATCACTGCAATAATATTGTATACCTACTATTATATTATTCGTGTGTTATGTGCCTACACGTATCTAACCAATTACTCATGATCACTAATCATAATAAAAATATTACGTCCAGACGCGACTAACATGATCGATATATCAACGCCGGATGATTACCTAATATAATGCATAAGTGGTGAAGTTTGCTCTTGTTGGGGCTGCTGCTGCAGCTCGTGACTTAAAGTCATCTGCAGCATTGGTGACCGTCGGTCGTCCAAATAATCGATTCGTAGTATAATTACCTCCACGTTCAACCACGACCTGAAATATTATATACCATCATTCATCATTATATTTATTGAGATCAGTGTTGTGCCGAGGATTTCGCATATGGGACTGACAATTTATATGGAGGGGGGGGACGAGAGAGAGGCTTAACTAGGAACTCCCCTCGCATACATTTCTCGATGCCCTGCAAATGATGCGAGGTATATATATATATATATATATTTTTTTTTTTGTTATTATAATAAGCCACAACAACATAGATTATTGGCTTTTATTATACACAATGGGGTAATATAAATATATGTATAGATGAAAAGTGTTACATTTTATACATGTATAGAAAAGACAGTGGGAGAGTTCTACAATAGTGGGGGTGTGATTAAATTAGGTTATATAATTTAGTTAATTTTAAGAAAGTGAATATTTTTTGGATGTTGTCTGGATCAGGGCCTAGAGCTTCTTGAAGATTGTCAGCTAGCTTGAGGTTGGTTTTAATGTCGTTGTATTCTCGACAGAAACATATGATGTGTTTGACTGAGAGAGTTTCACCACAAGTGAGACAAGGTTCGGGATTCGTTTTGGTCATTAGGTGTTTGTGAGTTAACCATGTGTGTCCAATTCTGATTCTATTAAGAATTACTTCTTGACGCCTGGGGAGGGGGAAGGTTGGGCATGGTAGAATGAGGTATATTATAAGTGCACAGTGTTCAATACTTTTGAAGCAACCGTCCTATAAAAATTGCAACTTTTAATATAGGTATGTCAACAGAACATCGGGATCGTTTATAAAACGTATGGGTACGCCACCGATAGAAATATCTATTACTTGCAGTTACCACCGCTTTGCCGTATATCATACCAAGTAATTTAAACGCAAGGTGTGATGTCTTGATGTTTAAATTGGCTAAATAAATATAATTATAATAGGTATACTACTTATCACTCACGCGGTATTGTATTATGCACGTGCTCTGTAGTTATTTGTTGGGTAATAATAWTTATATTATACAGAACAAATCAGATATTTAATACAATATTCATTAAAGGCCAAAACCGTTACGCTCATGCTGCTGATTTTWTTTTTTWAACTGCCGATAACAAAATAATGATAATGTGTTATGTGCCTGAACATAAGGTCAAGAGTCAAGMATGCCTCTTTTTATGGAAATTGCGGAAAMC